AAAATGCCAGTCGATCTGAAACAACTGCCCAATTCGCTCACACCCCAGTGCGCCCATCATACGGCGCTCATTTACCCAGTCTCAGGGAAGTGCCCGACTCCGAGAATGGTCATACTCATCGCCTAAGTTTAGTTCAAACAGTGTTTATACCTAGTGGCCAACGACGAACGTGATAAACGTGCGAATGCGCTGTGAAGATAACGCTCATAGTCTCCTGGCTATCAAAATTGAGGCATCCAAACAGGAAGGGAATTTCCGGAGTTACAGTACGTTTTGGTAAAGTGCCGAAGATGGCCGCAGTGAGGTATCGGTTTCAGACGATTCGCAACACTGTGGCACGGTGTCTGATCAGATGTCACAGTTAATCGGGGGGGGGGAGGCGATGAAAAATGAGCAGTATCAGTTAGATGGAAGCTGATGCTATGCAGAAGCAGCGAATACTGTTCCTATATATTTGAAACACGGACTCCGAAAGCCTGCAGTGATGGAACAGATGGATACACGTAATCCCATTATCTGCCGAGCCGCAGCCTTAAGGATCACAAACCTGTTATGTAATCCGAGGGCACGGGTTCGAACTTGTGTAGGGACCAGGCGACTCTCGCAGCATCCTCAGTCCACGTGCGACTGGTGGTGGTTACGTAGCAGCAAAGCGCCGGGAAGGCGCACCGGTATGCTGCTGAAGTTTTTCTGCCTTCTCAGACAAAGCATCAGCATGAGATCTGGGTGGAACACTGTAAATAGCCCACTATCGGGTTCGCTGTTACCATCCCTCCTAGAATCGCACCAATTCATGCAAAAAGGAAAAAGCTTGGTATGCTACATGTCAAACTAGTAAACATAAGCCGCGCTGTCAAACCGAAATATGGTACCCGGGGGCTTGACGACCTCTTTCCATCTCTGCTGAAAGGTACTAGACAAGGACTGGCTGTTAGTATAGTTGATCTATTCAATATTTGCGGTGTACTACAGGTGATTTGACATGGCATAATGACAGTTGCCGTGCATGACTCACAAATGATAAACGGCATAAGCAAAAGTCCGCAGGTCTTCAGTGTAATGGCTAGGATATCTAAAGCATTATATGGTTGGCGGCGTCCGGTTTGGGATTTGTATGTCACTGCGCCCTCCATAGAACAGCCACAGGACGCATATGCCTACAGAGGGACCATGGGTGTCTTGCGCTGCATCACCAACAGTTTCCTCTACACACCCCATATCCAGTGTGAACGTGAAGGAATAAGACCGGGAGGCATGTGGATGGGAGCCGCCATTCATTAACGGAGCCAGCCCACACTCCTTCAACATGCATAGCAGTAGCATTCCTGTCTATCTAAGTGGGGAATCATGCGTGCCAAACAGTTCAGTTTAATTCCGCTGAACAAATATAATTCGAGGACCGAAATGCGGTGGATCCAGTTGCCGCGACCCATTCCGGAAGAATAACAATAAACAGCAAAGGCAAGATAGTGGAATTGAATGCAGAGAAAATATACAGAAAATGAAAGCAATGCAGTGCATAAAATTAATCAAAAAGGAACAAAAATTAACAACCGGATGCAAGAAACCGAGTGCAGGAACGTCACTGACAGCGTGACTGAGCCATGTCTGGTGCGAAAGATAACCATTCGTGTGAACCATCGCAGGGCCCTCATCCACGAAGAGGGCACACACCAGTCTAAGTCTCTCAGTCAGTTTCTTCATGCCTCTATGCCACCTCGCGGCTTCATGCAACTTGGTGCAGCTACGGCGTATAATGCGTGCCGAGAAAGCCGGTCGACGGGAATACAGAGGACATGGACTAGACCACGCAAGCGACCAAGATTTTGCAAACACTCGAGTGGGGCACCAGAAGGTTCTTTGCCAAAAACCAACTGGCGGACCTCAGCATTGCTCATCCAGTGTTCCCACCAGACGTGAACAACACACCGCAAGTGTAGGTGGTCAAACACCGCCAAGCGTTTAATGTCTTCGTTGCGAACTGGCCAGCTCTCTGATCTATACAGTAAGACCGGCCTTATCGCAGCGTTGTAACCCTACCTTTCACTGACAGGCTGATATCCCGCTGTTTCCATTGATGGCTGAGTCTATGGAAAGTCATACGGGTCATGCTGATACGCGAAGTAACTTACTCAATGTGACCACCAGAGGTGAGAGCTACAAAGGTAAGTGAACAGATCCACTACATCCAGTAGTCGTTCTGTGATAGCTAGACACGGATGTATGTCGGTCCAGTCCTGCAACAGTACTGTGCACTTTGAAGGTGCAAAGCACATGCTGAAGTGTGCAGCGATACGCACCAATCTATCCAGTAGTGTCAGCATAGTAACTGTGTCAGATCCAAGGAGAGCTGTGTCTTCCACATACTGCAGGTTTGTCAGTCGGTGACCTAACAGAACTTCCATTCCGGTAGAGTCTGAAAGAACTGAGGTATTGATGATCATTCCGATGACAAAGTTCAATAGGACAGAATATATGGGACAACAATGGCGAACCCCATTTGTCGTGGGGAACACAGGAGACAGTTTTCCGTAGATTCGTATACCGGTTCTGTTTACAAACTTGGTTTGTGACGTTCATTCTCTTGAAAAAGTAAGTTGGATAGTTTCCAATCCATATGTAGTGGAATCCCCGCGATTACCATTGTAGTACCATCATCGTCATTATGCACGTTAGCTACAGGTGGAAAACACCTCGGTTATTGTCGCGCAATACAAAAGAAAAGACATGCAACAGATGCATGCCAGCTGAGCCACCAGCAACGGATGGACATTGTTCCGGAGAGCTAACAGCCGGCTACTGTGCAGCGAAAAGCTTTTGTTATGCCTAACAGATGAGATGGTGGCTGAAGGGGGATGCCAAGCGGGAGGCGGAGGGACAAAAAAACACAAAGCACAAACGCCATTGCGGTTGGCTCCTAGCCATGTCAGCAAGCGTATCCAGTCAAACGTGTTCATCGTTCTTCGGTCGCCAACTAGGGAACCGAGAGGCTTCAACCAAGGCTAACTTCGAAGTAAGGGACTACATTTCTCTAGACCAAGCCATCACTTGGCCACTCCTCCTCTTCTTCCATCCACACCTCCGGCGCACAAACAACGCATGTTGCGGGCGCCGGTGTGCTAGCACGCGTAGCATGCGGCCCAGCAATCGGAACCATTGCAGTAAACGAAAATAAAACAAAGGAGGAATTCACAAGAGCAATGGGGCATCAGGACCGCTTTATTTTCGTTGTCTCATTCCGGTTATGCGACTGAAAGAATCATAAACGAGTCCATCCTATCTGATGCATGGAAAATGGACATTCCATCAAGTTAAGTTGTGTTGAATAACGATAAGCCGAGCACCAAAGTGCGGTGGATGCAGTTGCCAGTACAGACGTCGCCAGACAAATAATGATTTGGAAATGAGATGAAACCCAAACGGAAAACAGTGAAAAGAGTGTTAAGATATAAGTGCGAAAAACTAACTGAGATGGAATAAAAACTAACGATCAGATGCCAAAAAAAGCAAATGCAGGAGCACCACTGACTACGTAGCTGCGCCTTATAGGTTAGATTCTCCAACCACTAATGTGGATCATTCTTAAGTTCGTATCTGTGAAGGCGACATGGACCAGCCTGGCCAAGTCTCTTAGTTAATTTCTTCATGCGTCTGTGCCACCTCATGGACTGGTCACCCTGCAGTTTCGGCCAACTTGGTGCAGCCACGGCGTATAACGCACGCTGAGGAAGCCGGTCGACGAAGGAGATAAACTAGCCAGCGTAGGTGATTAGGTCTCAGCAAACACTCAAGTGAAGTACCAGAGGATTCCTTGTCAAAAGCCAAATGGTGGACCTCAGCACTGCTCACCCGGTGTTAGAATCAAGTGTGATCAATACCCAACAGGCGCCGGTGGTCTTCACTGCGAACTAATCAGTTCCCTGATCCGTACAGTAACACTGGCCTTATCCCAGTGCTATGCACCTTAGTTTTCAGTGACAGGATAGCCCGCCGTATATAACCATACACGGTTGAGTTTCTGATGGTCAAGTGGTAAATTACTTGGGTTACAAGCTCAGTTGAGGTCGGATTCGGTTTCTATGCAGAGGGACCGATGGCAACCAGCCATGTACACTTCAGCCAGAGTTTATCGCAAAATGCGTCGCAGTATGCGAACAGCATTCAACACGTTACTGCGTCTCGCTTACTCCGAACATCCAACTTTAACGGTCAATTGCTTCATTTATCAAAGTAGATGACGATCAAATCACAGAAGAGACTACGACAGGCGTTGATCAGGCAAGTGTGATTTTACTAAGGAAATGTTGTCTAGGGAACAGCGTGATGATAGCTCAGGAGTCAACGGAAGTGTACAATTTTACAGTGTGTGTGTGGGGGGGGGGGAGAGGTTGTCCCTTGGATGAAATTTGGGCGCTGAGGACATTAAGCAACCGCTCGTTATAGACAATCGGTACCCGTACATCATCGTTTTATTCGCTTCCAACCGACAACGCGTCCAATGGGAAATAACATTTCCCATGTGGACTAGTGGCGTTTCCCCCTGTTCTTAATTTTGCCAAGCGCTGTAATCGTCGCAGCGTGAAACGGGACTGCCGGGAACAACGTTATTTGCATCTCGGATTACGGCTGATTAACTGACACACCTATCACAAAAGAACGCCCAGAGTGATGTTGACGGTTCAAATCAGGAAGAAAAGTGGTTAGCAATTTCATATCGGCAAATATGAAGTTGATATATAGTAGATAACTAATCGGAGCGACAGTATATATCAACGGGCAAGGTGTTGGCCTTATGTTTTAAGGTGAGCACAGTGCCATATTTACTGACCTAAAAATAGCAGGGATATGCAGCAAATAGCAACGAATAGAGAGCTCGAACCAACGGGAACAGACGCAGCGGAAAGTTATAAGACAGAAAGGGAACACAATAAGACCGTGTAACGGAGCACAGTACATGGCCCCCGCTTAACTTGAGAAGAGAGATAGAAAGCAACACTCACCGAATTTCCGATCGCGTAGGAACCGATTGTGTGCAGTGGTATTCTGATCGAATGGGTAGGTGGCCACTGTTGGAGGGGGAGCGCCTTGAATGATACAAAAGAGGGTAATGTTTTGACCTTCATCCACAACTATTTTGTGTGATCGAGTGGAGCCTGAGCTACCAGTCACATCCGCAGTGGCACTGGACGCCAAAGGCACGACAATTCGAGTCTGAACAGGACTAGAGGGAACTGAAGAGAGGGAGAGGGGGGAGTGTAGTTAGCCGGATACAATAGAAAGAAACATGGAGACGATGACGGAATGTTCGTAGATAGCACTAGTGGAAGTCCTGGTGGATATATAACTGAAGACAAAAAAAACTGATCGAAGCTCTTAAACTATCCTGGATAGATAAAATGGACAAAACTGAGGCGGGAGTAATCGTCCGACTACATATGCCCAAGTTTGGGCTTATCATTTAGGATTGTTGCTAGTTTATGCCCCTGGTCGGCAAGTGATATAAGTTCATTTGAACTGATCGAAGCCACTGTTACGCCCATTGCTACTGTACTCTTATGATTGATGGTAAGGGTATTAAGGTGAATTAATCGAAAACAATTGTTTACCTTCGGTCCCTTGTTCTTGAGAGTCAAACTCTACATGTTTACAATCACAGGACCGTAGGTACATAGAGGGACAAACTGAGAAGTGTATAAAACCCGCAAGATGATGAGCAGAGGACCACCCGCGTTAGCTGCATGGTAGTAAAGAACAAACTACAGTAAACCATAGTACGTAGTCACGTGAACTACTATAGACATGGTTGTGCTTTCTGCTTCGTAGCAGTACGGCAGCATTCCCAATTCACCAGCGCAGCAGACTGTATCTGGCGAAGCCAGCCAGTTGGGGTGAACAGACGGTGAACAAAACAGACAACCACACGGAGACAAACCTAACGGATTCCGCTGTCGGATGTAGCGCCCTAAGTAGTCCCCTTACGCGAATTCGTCAACTGGTTGTTATTCGACGGCCATAAAGTGGGATTTTCCGTAATCCGCTTAACTGAGTCAGTGGAGGAGCTTCAGTGGTCCAAGAAGAAGACATGAAGGCATCAGCAGTACACCGGTACGAAGCACCGACGCTTCGCCGCCATGCAATCTCCATCAGTCGCACATGGGTTAAGGGTCGCCCGCTCCCATACGCATGCTCGAAACCGCGCCCTCGGATTACAAAGCAGCCTTGTGATCCTTTATTCTACGAGCTGGTCCAAAAAGCTAATCAAAAGCCGATGGATAGCACAGTTATCCAAGTGTCAGTTAGAACTCTATTTCCGCACGTCTAACAAGTACGCCTAATTGCGGACCATGAAACGTTTCACTGGAACAACGCACCGAAGCAGATGTCTACTTTGAACTTAGCAACTTGAAGTGATCCAAGATGGGCTTCCTCTGGAGCTGCTCAAGTACAGTGATAAGGAAATGGTCAACCAGTGAACAGTACTGTTCACTGAGAGGTGGCGTGGAGAAAAGATGCCGTTCTTTTGAAACAAGTTGACTATCGTCCCAATTTCAAGAAGAGTGACCATACCTTAGGCGCTAACCGCAAAGGAATGAGTTTAATATCCAATGCCTCAAAATTGTTAACATCTATTCCAGTCCCCAGACTAACCCCGATTCGAGAACTCGTGAAGCACTGGCTAGTTTCCAGTCGGTGATCTGAGTGTTCGCTGAGTTCAGCAGTTTGGCTGCAGCTAAACTGTTGAGCTCAGCGAACGCTCAGACTACCAACTGAACAACCTGATCTGCCAATAGTTGCTTCTGTATCACAGGCTAGTTTCCGTCCAGATCGAAGGTGTGTAGACCATATGTTTACGCCTCACCAACACTTCGAGCAACTTCACGTTTACTGCCAGCCTACTATTATCATCTATCGGAAATCCGAGCTGCGTTCTACTGGGTCGATCCGCTCGTTTTATGGTGCTATCAGCAAAAGTATGGGGTACTCGAAAGCATGCCACCACCTTTCGAGAATGGTAGAGCAATGTCTCGGACAGAGTGAGGGCTTACTGTAAGCTCTCTTCACCTTTTGCCGTCACTAGCGGTGTACGACAGGGATGTCCAATGTCCTCGTTTCCGTTCATTTTTGTGATCGAGGATGTCCTATTGAGCGCACTAAAAGTTTCCACAGTTCTAGCGCAAAGCTTCTCCTAGGCAACTGCGCGACAGAATTAGACTACGCCGATGTTATCATCCTGCTCGATGACGAGTATGCAAGTCATGCGAAATCGGTTTGCGATGGAAGCTACCAAATATGGAGTGGCATTCGCTCCATCGAAATGCTAAGTCCTACTCCAGGATTGGCACCCACTTGTACTTCTAATGACTCTTGAAGACAGGCAGCTTAGCCTACCTGGTGAGCTGTGTTTTTGCTAATTGCATCATTGGAAGATGTATTTTGGGAAAGTCAAAGCGCGATTGGCTTACTCAAATCTGAGGCGCCTGCGGCTTCGTGACCTTCCACTCACGACAGGACTTACAATGCCGGTGCTCGAAAAGTGCATTTGTATGAGTGTGCGTCCTGACTTATGTGTGAATGAGAGGCGCCGGATCGCCACGTTTGACGAAGGTTGTCTGCGGGCGATAGCTTGCAACGAGGATGTTAGATGCCGCGTCTTAGGCGATACGGGCTTCCCTCTCAACAGGCTAGTAACGACGCTGCGCCAAGACTGGGTTACGTCCTACACATGCCGTGCGAGCGACTAATACAGAACGCTCTATTTCCTCGCAGAGCGCCACATTGAAAGAAATCGCACAGTAGTCCACTTGCTACATGACGCCAAAATGTCAGAGCGCCGATTTCCAATTCAATTTTTGTCGATCCCATAAGGCATCCGAACTAAGAAGACAAAGAGGAAGAACAACGCTGGCTGGAAACGCTTAAAAACGTGGCGCAGAATCCGGCTCAATGGAAGAATGGCATGAATTTAGGCCCTATTTTACTGTTAAAGACCACAATCAGTAAACGGGCACAAAAAGACGAAAGGGCGTGTGAAAAAAGCATTTTATCCGTCTTCTTCTTTGTAAATTTTGTTAGTATTATATACATTCATTCAGTGGCTTTTGCCTATCATATAGACAGTTGCTATTAGATATAAAAATTGCATATTCTCGTTTAAAGGAAGACACACCTGTGACGGTATTTCAGGTAATTAAAAGGATATTCTAGTGCAATGACCACAGATGATCAGAAAAGGTACAACAGGGATGTGAATTGATGCTCAACGTTGACAGGGCACATTGCTAATTGTTGTATCACTGTGTCATCTGATGTTGTAAAGGATATGATTATCTGGATTGGTAGGTCCTTTGTGAATACGGATACAAAATGCATAAAGGACGGTTTCTGAGTCATAGAAAAAAGGGTTTAACAAGGGCGCCTAGAAAAAAAGTGTAAGAGTAGACTGTAAGAAGCGGAAGGGGAAGATCGACGATATATATATATATATATATATATATATATATGTATATATATACGGTTGGCGACATCCGGTTTCAGATTTGTATGTCACTGTGGCCAGACACAGGACGCTTGCGCATACAGAAGGACCATGGATGGCTTGCGCTGCACCACCCACAGCTCCAACCACACACCCCATATCCAGTGTAAACCCGAAGGAATAAGACCGGGAGGCATGTGGATGGGAACCACGTTTCATCAACGGAGCCGGCTTACACTCCGTCACAGGCAAACACAAGCACCCTGTAGTTGGGGAATCAACCGGACACAAGGCGGTGGCTGGACCGTAGTCCGCTCCACACTGAGTGCATGGAACCACTCTTCGAGCCTAGCACGGCCACAAAGACCGTGCACCCCGTCCCCTCCAGCAACGACCAACTGTCTCCTGGAGCCAGTATGAACGATGTAGTGGGTACTAGACAGGTAGGCACCTTGTCAACATACACATCAAGCGCAACCATACCAGGGATATCAAACAACAGCCATTCACTTTAAACGACAAGCTGAAATAAAATAAATCCAATAATGCATGCAGATACGGTGGCATAACTCTTCGCTAAATTACCATATGAAGTAATTTGGTTAGCAACAAATCCGGGATAAGTAAGAAATGTCCACAAGTTACTTAAAATGCTACAAACGCAACAAAATTACCGAAAATAAGCGCAATTAGTGTAAGCAACGTGGCCAGTTAATAGAACATTATTCAGGGAGGCAGAACAAACCAAATAAAGCGGAATGAAATTTATTCAGCTTAAAAAGACCTAGTTTAGGTGTAAGTTGGTTTAGCCCAACTGCGGTGAAGAAGCATCAAGAATGCAACATCAGCCTCAGCATGGGGCATATATATATATATATATATATATATATATATATATATATATATATATATATATATATATCCGTTGTCGTTACTGAATAAATCGCTTGTCTCTAAAGGACTGAGTTTTACGATATGAATGAGTCTGAAATGGTGACGATTCCCGAGGTAAAGAAATGGTCATACATTGTTTTGCCAAGCATCTGATGACTCATTGACGCAGACTAGTCTGTACGTATTCCATGCGAATGAAAGAGTACTCACTAATCAGCTTCAGTTGAGTGACCTCGGGGGAGTATTTCTTCTCTCCGGTTAGCGGATTAGTGACGGCACATCGGTAAGTTCCGACGTCTAGCGGCTGTACCTTGTGGATAAGCAAACTGAGACGCTGTTTGTCAGGTCGCTCGACTATGCGAAATTTGTCCGTTTGCAGAGCTGCGGTAGTATAGAAGGATGAAACACAAAAGACGAGGTAAGCAACATTTAACTGTCAAACTTGTTACTATTCATCTAGACCGAGGGAGCCATACAAGTTTGCGCATTAAAAGTGAATATCAGAAGCATTGGTAGTATAAAAAACGTTCGGATCCTGAATAGTTATACACATCCGCACGTTGCTTCCGTGATTCGAAACTATAAACTTGCGAAACGAAACGAATTCAAATGGAAATGAAACAGGAAGATGGAACAAGAATTTGAGATGAAGGATGTTGTCCAAGAAAGACATTCCCGCGTCCATAAATAATGACGGCATTCGGGGTCTTGTCCATGATTTGATAAAAAAGAACAAACGTGATGTGTAAATCGCTCCTGATGATACCGGACGCTCATATTAAACCGCCAGTCTTGAAGCCGTATGATAGCAGCAGGAGTTTGAAGTAATATCCCAACTCAGTGAGACACCTTGAACTAACCGGGCGGAAAATGTTTTCATTAGATGTGTTGTCCCTTTACACCAAGGTCCCAATGGAAGAGACTGTAGACTATGTCAGATCATACAGTTGCACAACACCAACGTCGGTATCCCCGCAGATCGATTAAGACAACTATGGCTGACAAGCATGACAAACATCCAGTTTCAGTGTAATGGATCAAATGGATAGACAAATAGATGGAGTGACCATGGGCTTGTCGTTAGGCTCTTACTCGCAGGCGTGTTCATGAGCAAGTTGGAGAGCAACCAGTTAAAGGAGTCCATCAACAGTTTGACTTATTATGACCGACATGTAGATGACATCTTTCGTGTTGCAGACGATGGGCTGTGTATCAAAAATCTGCTGTCTCACTACACCTCCGTGCATAACATAACGTTTACTCTCAAACTAGAAATTGACGACTCATTGGCCTTTCTAGACGTCCAGATCAATAGGGAAGAGATAGGGACAATGCGGAGGGTGCACAGAAAGGGAACTTGGAATGGACAATACACCCACTTCCATACTTTCATTCCAATCAACCAGAAGCGTAGGCTAATGCGTTGTCTCACTGAGAGAGTGAGACGAATATGCACAGAAGGTACGCTTTCTGAGAAGCTAAGTTTCATCCGAAGGGTGTTCGAACGTAATGGATACCCAGAAAAATTCATCCAGAAGCACAGGGAACCGTAAGTAACGAAAATGAAATCTGCTTCCGCGGAGAAGCGCCTAATATACTTATCGCTACCGTTTAAGGGTGACGCGATGGTGCAGCGAACAACCCAAAGGCCTACCTTAGCCATTGCCAAAACGTAGTTTGCGGCCGACTTACGTGTAAGCTTCACCTTAACACCAATTGTGCGCCAGCAGCTCAAAGACAGAATACCGTAAGCACAGATTTCCTTTTGTGTGTACAATTGCTCTGGCTTGTGTCGAGCAAGGTATATTTGAAAAACGACTACGCGACTGTCCGTAAGAGCTCGAGAGCATGTCCCGCTTGGCTATACAGTGGTGTGAGGAAGAATATGACGAGCATAGTACATGTCACATGTAGTGGATACTAACCACAAAATAAACTCAACGGATTCATTCCAACCGATCTACTGTGTGCCAGAACGCCACATGAGAGTTGTCAGATGCCGTTTGCTGTCGACAACAGAGGCAATCGCGGAATTGTGCGCACTGAGGAATTTTTTGTGCACACTCTCTGTCTACTCTGGCTCCAGACTAACACAAGTAAGCAGACTTATCACACCATTTCCTCCGACTCCACACAAGTCGGGCTAATCACATAAGTTTATTGATGATGAGAAATTTTGATTTGTAGAAGCCAGTAATTCACGTGTTCATTTTTGACCTGAAAGCTGTGCTTGTACTAGCCTGATAATGATCCATGGAAACTAGATTGTTCTACGCATACCAGCCCACCGACTCTCGCGACGTGCTTTGTTTGTGCACCGAGGGTGTGGATGGAAGAAGAGGAAAAGTGGCCAAGCGATGAAGTGGTCCAGAGAAATGAAGGCCCTCATTTCTGAGCTGGCCTCGGTTGGAACGTCTCGGCTCCCTGGTTGGGGTCCGAAAGACGATGAACACGTTTGGTTGGACACACTTGCTGATATGGCAAGGAGCCGACCTCAGTGGCGTTCATGCTGTGAGTTTCTTTGTCCCACCCCATCCCTCTTAGCCTCACCCTCCAACCACGATCTCATTATTTAACCTTATATAATCTTGCATAGTAATTTTTTTTGATGCACAGTAGCCGGCTAGTAGCTTACCGGAACGATGCCCATCCGTTATCGGTAGCTCAGCCGGCTTGCACCAGTTGCATATTTTCCTTTTTTCTATGTATTGCGGCACAGTAGCTGAGGTGTTCCCCACCTCTAGCTAACGTGTATGATAATGATGATGATCGCTACGTTCTACTACTAGTATCAGAAGTGTACAAAGAATCCATACGTGCAGTGTAGTATAGACTGATAGCATATGGTGTAAGGCTACCTAGCTAATTGGTTCTAGAAAGCCTAATCGTTCAACCCAATTGGTCGGTTCATCACGTCTCGCATTGTTACCTTTTCCCCACCATTTGACACTTATCGCACCTCCCATCCACTGAGAGTGAGTTCCCCTCAGTGTTTGAACCGTAATTATTGAGAAGTTGACGCCTTGCACAGGCAGTTTCCAGGCTTCCTTCAATTCACACGCTCAATTGACGCCTCCGGTTTTTTTGTCACCACGATTATCTGATGACGAAAGCTCGTGAACTATTCCGAACCACATCGGTCGCAATGATACTATCCATGGACGCTAAGGGTTGACTAGCTTCGGGTTCCTTCACGCATCAACCACAATGGAGGTGATGGAGATCAGACTGATTCCTCTATGGTTGCCGCATTAAGATCGTGAGCCTCCCTTGGAAATTGGGACTATGACGGAGCGGCTCCAGTCGGTTGGGACAGTTTCCTGCTCCCACAATATCACTAGTAACTCGTATAAATCATCCACAAAAGCAGGTACCCCGAAGTTGAATAGCGCTAGAGGAAGATCATCTGGTCACGCAGCTTTATTTAACTTCAAGAGTCCCATCTCATGTTCGACTTCTGAGCAAGAGGGCGGATCCAAAGGGACAGCCCACGGAGCAGGGCGATCAGTGGCCGGTAAGAAATGTAACAATCCCAAAAGTGCTCAGCCCAACGCTCCAAACGTTTTGACAAATTGTGGATAGCCTTTCCACTCTCATCACGTATAGTTTCACTAACACCAGGTCTCCTGCTGCCCGTTTCCCGCATCAGCCGGAATAACTTACGATGGTTACCAAGGGCAGCGGCCATTTCCATCTCGGATGCACGATGAGACCACCAGCATTCGCGGTCTCCCTTCAGGCTAGCACTGAGTTTTTGTGCGAGTATCATTGTGTATGCTTCCAGCCGGAATGTGCCGGCGAGCATCGATAAATTCTAGAGACTGCGAAGAGACCCAATATCCATGTTGGCGATTAGACTTACCACATGAGAATTTTCCTGCTGCTAGTAAGGTCTAGTGAACATGCGACCAGTGAGCTTCAATTGCATCCAGTGAGCGCTTACTCAACTCGCATGACAGCGTACTTTGATAGGCATTCAGAACAGCTGACTTCGCCAGTTGAATGGTGTCAATGCGCTCACAGCATCGTCTTGGGCGTCCGCTAAAACGCATCCGCACGTCAGCACATACAAGTGCATGGTCGGTGTCCACACATGTGCTCCAAATCGAGCGACAGGTTTGAACGCAGCCTCTCCCTCGGTAACTTATCGCAATGTGATCGATTTGCGTCCAAGGTTGGGGGCGGCACGTCACCCTCCGGCAGGTGATGTGTAGGAAGTTAATGATCTCAAGAAATAAACGGGCATCTTCACACAAATGAAGTAACCGCTCACAGTTATCATTACGGGAGGCTACACCGTGTTGACCGTCCAGATGCAGTTCATCAGTGCATAATTTTCCGGCTTGTGCGTTCAGATCCCCCACCAGCACAACAGTGTCCGTGCTTCTTCTGTGGCGAAGGAACCACGTAAGTGGGCGGTAGAAGTCGTCTTTTAGCGAATAAGCGCTATAGTTTGTGAGTGCATCGGCAGCGATGACGAATAGACACCTATTAGTCCCGCGCGACTTCGAAGCTTTGAACGAACCAGCCAATCGGACTGCACACAACCGGCTACTGATTGGAATCTTGTCAACCATAGCAGCTTCAGCCCGGGGACTCAGGGCAATATCAACACCGGCTTGGCCGGTGCTGGAAGCTACATCGTCACCGGATAGGCGCAATGAGAAAATACTGCTTGCGTCACCTGAAGGGGATCGCAAAGTGAGCACTGAGCTCGAGTCTTGCAGGTGGGTCTCCGATAAGCAGCAGATATCGATCGAGGTCTCTAATGTTCGGGCGAGTGCTGCCTGCTGGCCGATCTGAAGCAATGTGCATATATTGAGGCACGCCAAAGACAGAAATGACGCTCTGCGTTTACATATGAGTTGAAACTAGAAGGAAAAAGCCTATCAAAGCAACGTAGGGGGGCAAGAACTGAAGGGTTTAAACAGGGGGGTGAAAGTGAAGCTGCAACAAGAGGACAAGAGTGAAAAAGAGAGGGAATATGAGGATGGGAAGGCTTGAGCAATAGCATCCAAACCCCTATCCAGTCTGCTCGATGCAGCAGATAGGGCACCGTTGATTATTCTCTGCGGTGGCAAGTGCATCAAGAAACTGTTTGACCAAAGATTCATAGTATGGCGTGGGCAGGATACTGCCAGGTTGCCCAGGTTTAGATAGAAGAACGATCAGGGCTCTCAACCCAAGCCTTTGGTTCAAAAACCTGACCGCAATACAGCGGGTTTGGGATTGGGCTACAAGGAGTCCATTTTAAGGAATAAGATGCCACCCTCATTCCAACCCCCAACCTGGAGGACCAGGTTGTTGTCTGGCCTGTAACCATTGGCCAATCTGGTATGAGTGGTTCTGAAGGTGCAAAAAAGCACCACCCAACATAGCTC